GGGAATTTTAAAGAATGCATTTATTCTATTGTGGTTTATCCGCTGCCGGCAATGTAGAGTTAATTCAATCCAATAAGTTTAAATGAAATGCTTCAACATCTACTCAGCAGAAAACGAGAAAAAATGAGGTTCTGAATTGGAAAAACAAGGATATATGTTTGATGAATACAGTCCATAATAACTGGACGATTGATGTTGGAACACCGAAAAGAACTGTAAAAAAACCAATAATTGTAAGATTACAACAACAAAATGGGAGGAGTGGACTGCCTGGAACAGATGTTATCAAATTGTCCTGCAGTTAGAAATAAGCAGAGATGATATTATTTTTCCGTTAAGCTTTATTTCCTTATAATTTTACTTAATATTCATTGACATTCATCCACTACGAAAGTTATGTATGGGAAGTTATGATGTACAGAGAAAACAACATTACACGCTACCGAAAAACAAAACAGACGGCCGTCGGGGGAGGGGGATTTTCGCGGACAGGAGAGGACCGCAAAAGGGTTAATCAGGATCATTTTCATAAAATATCAAATTTTGCCTTCGTTGCTAAATACCAGTGCCTTTTCGGAGAATCATTATACTGAGGCGATTATTCTTTGATACTGTTTATGTGACTAAGTCAGGAAACTAGATCTTAAATAATAACAGTATTTTAAATGAGTATGGTATTTTAAATGTATATCCTGTTTAATGCATGTATTATGCTGTGTCTAATGTTGTGTAATGTGGAAAATATCTTAGAAATTTAATGAAAACATTGTAAGCATCGAAAAGCTAAAATATTGCTAAAAAGCTAGCATATTAGTTTTGTTTAAAAAAATGTATTGAAGTTGCATTTTGCTTTTTCAGACTTTCAAACATCCTGAAATTTAATATTGTAACTGTCAAGGAAAAGTGGAATTCTAATTTTAAATATAATTGAAAATATTAAAGTTTTAGAGCTTTTAATTTGAAAAGATTAATCTCTAAATTTCTTTTCAGCATTTTTAAGTGAACACTTATGTTTAATTTAATCTTAAAATAATCAGTGCAAACAAAATTTGTATATTAGTTGACTTAAAAGATATGTCACTTTTGCTTATGGCAACGATTCTCAACTGGTGGTATGCAATAGAAAAATAGGTGGTACACACACACACGCAAAATAAATAAATAAATAAAGTATTTTTAACTATTAAATTAAAAAATCTCGTGGAAAAAAAAGAACAATTGATAGAAATTTTCTGCGATCGAACTCTAACTGAAGATTTCAAAAATAACACGCTTTGAACTGAACTGAAAAAAAAAATTAAAGCCATTTCAATGAAAGCTATTAAATTTTTATTCCCTTTTTGAACAACCTATTTGTGTGAACAAGGATTTTTTTTCCATGTTATGTTAAAAAAAAAAAAAAAAAAATACGGAACAAAATTAAAAGTGGACCCTAATTTACGGTTAAAGTTAAGTGAAAAAAATTTATCTCTCTTAAACACGTCCAAATTTCACATAAATTTTAGAATTAAAGTATTATAACTTAAATTTTGATGATTAAAATGGTAACTAATTTTTAATATAATATTTTTCATATGTGCATGTTTAAATACAAATAGCCACTAGATTGTGCAAATGGAAAACTATTTTTGTTTAGTATAGTTCAGATTTTGTTTAATATATTCAGAAATTGAAAAATAATCATTGTAAAATGTAGTGTTGCTACTAAAGCTCTTCAATTTTTATTTAGATGCTTCATGTTAGTCAAAAGGTTGAGAACCACTGGCTTATGATACAACTTTCATTCAGAATATTAAAGAATATCACTAGAGTGAAGAAAACCACATTTACCTAAATTATCAGTGCAGTAATATAAAACTAAATAAAATTTAATTTTTCGGAAAAGTTTGAATACTTTTTTATTTCCCATTAATACAAAGTAATTAAACGCGAAAAGTTAGCTTTCTTCAGTAGAAATTTCGTTTTAGGGTATGCCATCCCCCTTTTATAGTTGGTTTATATACCTGGACATCATGTCTTTTTATGCATTTATTAGTTTATATTAATTCATTTTATCGTATAAAAAGCATTTTATGATGTAAACGCGTGTGTTCTTTATCGCAATTGATGTTATTTTAAATCTCGTTCGTAGCTTTCGTCATTTCATTCTGGAATAATGATCTTTGGTCCCCCAGAAAAATTTCTCTTCATGTTTGTCCTGGCTTTCTTTCATTCCCGAAATGCGATAGAGTCGCGAATCGGGGAACTTCCCCTTTAATTTTATTCTCCATCCTGTCTTTTTAATTTTTTTCTTTTTTTGGTTATTTCCTATACGTGGGGTCGCCAGATGGTTTTCTGCTGGCAGCTGTTCTTTCATATGGGCCTCTCTCTTCGGTGTTGTGTGTAAAGTTTTAGATGCTTGCTTGTTTGCGGCTGAAAAAATAACATAAAAGAATTTATAATTACTCATTTTATAATTTTTGTCGAGAGAAGTATTGCTAGAAATAATGGATCTGAGGTAATTTAATTTATACTTTATTTGTAAAAGTTTTAGCGGCTAAAATTGATCATTGCTTATTTTATGTGATTCCCGAGCTATTTTGAAAATAATTCGATTTCTATAATTATTCTACAAAGTCCAGCTTGTGGATTTTATTAAATAGTATTTAATTCTTTTAATAATAAGTTTGTCTTAAATTATGAGGTAGTTTTGTGATCAAATTAAATTTAAAAATTTAAGATGGTTAAAACTGAAAATAATTTCATTAATTTAAAAATGTAATGCATGTCTTGGTTTTACTGAATAAAATAGTATATATCTGTTATTACTTGTATTAATTATGACATGCTGGGTTAATGATAAGATGAATTAATAATGCATCTCAGAGTTTAGAGCTTTTTCCAAACATATTTTATTTTTGTAGATTTATTTTTAATCATATGCATTGCAAAGCTATACTGAATTGTGAGACCTTTTCAATTTATGTTGTATTATATATTTTAATCTCCTCTAGTATACTTTTTTGTTGGAAGAAATTTGAGGCTTATTCATGAATGAATGCTAGAAGTAAGATATTAATTTAAATACTTAACCCCTTAGTCATCACACCCATCTCTTATATGGGCAGCCAGTTCGAATAACTTTTGTTACTCTGTTATCTCATGCGGGCTGTGCTTTTGCAATAAAAGGTAATGAGAATTCCAAATTTTGTCATGCCCATTATCAGTTCTATTTACAAAGTAGATGGCAGCAGAGTACTTGTAATATGACTAAATAGCAGTATTGTGTAGATTTAGAAAAATTTTGTCATAGAAGATCATTTTGTTCCTCTGAATCTTTGCTGACCAATGAACTTAATTATTTGAGAGCAGTTGCAATTTACCGTGGATTTTCTCCCGTGATTATTGATAAAGCGGTTAAAAAATTTTTGGATTCCCATCAAGAAGACATTCCACTGTTAAAATAATATTAATGACCTTGTTGTGCTTCCATTTTATCCTTCTGTTAGCGATAAAATTGGCACGGATTCTCCAAATTCAATTTTCAAGTCGGTTCTCCCTATTAAAAAAAATTCACCCTTCGATTCTAAAAGATTGCGTTTCTGTCTTGAATCTTGGGGAATTTATAGTATATCGTGTCAGTGTGGTTTAAGATATATTGGCCAAACAAAAGAGCGTTGAAGTTTCGTATCAAGGAACATGAATCTTATGTCAGAAAAGGCGAAATTAAAAGTCTTCAATAGCATATCATAGTTGGACATTTAACCATAATTTTGACTTTGGGTCTGCAAAAATTATCCAAAAGGCTTCTTCCATAGTGAATTGATTTTCTTGAGGCTTTTCCATATTCACAAAGATTTAGCAGGTTTAGTTATGATTTGAAGTCCAATCCGTCCTTCCTAATGCCTTTAAATTCTACTATCTTAATTCAGTTATTTTTTGCCGATAGATGGCGTTACCTCCTCGCGTTTGGTACTACCAGAGGGTATAAAAATCCGTTCAGTGGTTGCTTTCCTTATTCGAAGTTCAGATTTTGAGCGTGGGTGCAGTGCCCTTCGCTCCCTATTTTTAACTTCGCTAATTTTTCTTGTCCTTTGCATTTGATCAGATAGCCGGCTCAGTAAAGTAGGCGGCCTGATTAAAATCTAGTTATAACCGTGCAGTGCTGATAAGGACCACGTGTTTTGAGACTCCTTCCCTGATTCTTCTTTATTTCTTCTGATGAGGAGGAGCCTTTAGCTGCCCTCGAAATCGATTGAGTGTTTCAATATACTTACGCTAAATACAAGGTTGTTTTTACGATTTTGATTAGATGTTTTGAAAGGATGCAGTTTCAGTGCTCATCATTTTTTCATGTTTAATATTTATAAAATGAGTAGCTCAAGTGAACAAGAGTATTTGTCTTGAAGATTTGGGTGTCTTTTTTTTTTCAGATGCTTTTGATTCTGAAGTATCAGAATTTGAAAAGAGTTTTAATAATGATGATCAGGGCTGTATAGTGTAATAGGGAAAATGACTGACTCCGACGCCTGGAATTTTATGGTTTGTGTATTTAATTACGGCAAAGCACACTAGGGCTATCTGCCTAAGGGAAGGGATGCCTTTGTGGAGGACTTTCTAAGGAAAACTGGCTCGTAACACGTTACCTGGGGAAAACGACAAACAGCCAGGCGCCAACCAGTTCCGTGATTCAACCTCGACCGAACTACCAGTGTTCGCGACTTTACTCTCGGCCTCGTGGGGCCGAATTTTAATGACTGACTCGCCCGCATATATATATATATATGTAAACATATATCATGGTTACAGCTTATTTTTTTAAATAAAAAAAGAGTAATAGGTGCTGCAGGAAAAAATTGATAGCATAGCAAATAATTTATGTTAATTAGCATTTATTATGAAATAGAAAAACTGGCATTAGTTATTTATAAGAACCAGTATAGCTTTGGCAAGATCATCTTTGTTGGAGGACCATAGATCTGATTTGATAAACTCCAGAGCTGAATAGAGTCCTTCCACACTTACTTGAGAAAGATGAAGAGCTCATACTGTTAGGACTACTTCCTTTAACTTTTCAGGATATTTGTATAACTTCTAAGAGTGTCTTGAAGTGCAATCATATTTCTCTAGTTCTTATAGGCCTGTAGAAATCTGTTTGTATTTTTCATTTTTTATTAAAGACTTTTTTTATTGCTTGCCTAGCCTTTTCAATAGTATCCAAAATATTTTCAAAATCTATGATCAGGGAAAAGGATGATAGAGACCACTGCAATTCTCAGTTTGACTGTCATGAGTCGAATTTCCATGTTCTGAGAATAATTTCTTCTTATAGTTCATAGATGACTTTCTTGCTTTTTAATTTGTTCATCATCCAGAAAATTCGTGTTTGATCTCCATATATTGAACCCAGCAAGATCTCATTGTCTAGCAAACTAATTTCTCTTTTTTCATTGAAGAAGTGATTCCTTCTACAATAAACCCTCCATTTCAGAAAGAACAAACATCCCATTCCCGCCTCCTGTCAATTCTTCAGATTGTAGCTTTTTTGTGGCCATATATATGGTATAGAAAGAAGAGTTTCCAATTCTGCAAGATCATCCCACAGTCTTTCTGTTAGTAAAAGTTTTTAGTTCTAAAAACCTCTTTATCATCAAATATGTACTTCCGTATTGCATTGCTTGATCAATAATTTCTCCTTTTCCTGCTCGCTAAGAATGGCATCAATTTTAGGAGTCCTTGCTGCTATTTCTGCTTACCTAAATTTACCACGAATGAGTAGCTAATGATCGTTTAATCATAATGGCCATATAACATCCATCTCCTCCCTTATATTTATTATATTGTCAATAATGAAAAAATTATTATAAATTATGCAGTCCATCTATAAAAATAATAACTCAGCTTGTCATTAATTTTTTCAATTTATTTTAATTTCATTTCAAATTCAAACTGCCCTCGGAGTCAAGAGTCGACCTGTTTTTAGTGACTCCAGCTCTGACTTCAACCCAAAATCTGCCCGACTCCGACTGCACAGCCCTGATGATGATGATCCTGTGCAACATTTACTAGTGCTGCAATGGAACGAAATTATGCTGGCTGCCTCAGATATTTGTCATATAATCAATATTGTGAATTCAAAAAATACCTGCGTATTCTGAACAATGATTCTATGATACAGAAAATCATTGTAACCCAAAACTTCACAAAATTTAGCCTATGTGTGAGCATTTGAGTAAAGTATATCAAATAACAATTAATCCTTAAAGAGCTATTACCAATAGATGAAACTTTGATGTTGTTCAAGGGACGTTTATCTTGGGTCCAGTATAATATACCCTTGAATAAAGCAAAATTTGGTATCAAAACATGCATGCTAAGCGAATCTAGTACTGGTTATGTATGGTCATTTATTATGTATACTAGGAAATTATTTAAACCTAAATTCCAATCTATCTCGGTACTTTCACAAGTTGTTATGACTTTGATGCCATTAGTGAAACAAGACTACTGCATCACCTTAGAGAGTTATTATACTTCACTAGAATTAGCTGATATCCCTTTGACTTATCAAACAGATGTGTTTGGAATTGTTAGACAAAACAAAAAGGATTTACCTTTAGCATTTAAAAATAGAAACTTAAAATCTGATGAAGTTATATCATTTAGATGTGAAAAATTCCTCCCTTTGAAATATAAGGACAAAATAGGAAGTGACAATGTTATCATTTTGTGATTCTAAAACTGTTGAGGTAATCACAAAGAGTGAAAAATTGAAAACAATGGGAGGTGTGAACCTTGTAGATCAATACCTTTCTAGTTAACATGTAACCAGAAATAGTGGAAAAAATATAAAAAAATATATTGTTTCACTTTTTTTTTTTTTTTTTTAAGACCAAACTGTTTTCAATGTTTTTCAAGTTTATAAAAAGAAGGTTAGAAAAAATTCACAAAGTTTAAACTGGGTTTAGTCAATGAAATAATTGATAAGTATAATACTTTTATCCATTTTTTAAATGAGGATGCCCATCAAATGAAGTGTTACAAAGTCGTTATTTGAACACTATTTTTTTTGGAACTTATGTCATATACAGAGAAAAAAGAAAACCCTGCGTGAGAATGTAAATGGAAAATTAATTAGGAGAGAAACGAGATATTAATTTAAAGATTTTAATGTAGGACTCTACATACCATGTTTCAAACATTAGCACACACCTAGAAAAATTAAATTTTTAAAAAAAGTATTATAGATAATAGCAGCTTCGCTGCCAGCCTTCGTCTGACTTTTAAAGTACCGGAAAATGCTGAAGGAACACCAAATGTTAAATTAACTGCATAGATTTTACTCTGCAGAACAACTCGTTAAAAAAAGTTATTACGTATAAAAATTATGGTGAAATAAGCAATTCCTTTAATACGAATATAATTATCCTAATAAATAAATTAACCCCTTCCCTTTGCAAAATCTAGGACTCAAATGGTATAAAGGAGTTAAGAACTTTCTTTCCTAAAACATCACTCAACTTTTCAATATCTTCAAAACCTTGAAATGAACAATAATAACAAAAAAATACAAAAAACAAAAAATTTGAAATGCAAATAATTAATGATATTTTATCTTGTGTTTTCAAGAAAAAAAATACAATGAAATAAGCTAATCCCTTAAAAGAAAATATTAATTAATCCTAATAAAAAAATTAACCAACTTCCGTGAAGAAAAAAATCATGCAAACTTCAATCTCTCTCTCTCTATATTAAAATTACAATGAAATTGCCACTCTCTTAAAAATAATGACTAAGAAATATGATGAAAAATTGTTGCCAAACCTATATTTCTAAAAAATGTAACTAGTCAAATGATGCTATTTCATCAGAAATCTATCAGCAACAATAAGAAAAGAATTGTTGCCAAAATCACGAGTAAAGATGCGAAAAGTGTACTCGGAAGCTTAATTTAAAATTTTTTTAAAAAGTATATTATCATTTTTCCAAAATTCTTTTCATAAAAGCAGTCGCAAGGATGAAAGTTTAACGTGTCCAAAAAAAGAAAAATAACTGTACATTTTTAAAAATAAACTTTTTTAGAAAAAATCCCATTGAAAAGGTGTTAAGCTCCATTTCTTAAATAAATTCGTATTTAATCAATTTATTGAAACACAGAATTTATTTTAAGTTCGTAAAATAGCTAAGTGCCTACGTTTCATGACAATGTGAAAATGGAGTGTGTAGAGTAAAATCTTGCTTTCCTATAGTCCATTACATCTCAAAATGACGCGATTTTGTCACAAAACATAAAATAAAAAAAAATCTAATTCGAATTTTAAAAAAAAAAAATTGCTTTGAGGTGCACTGGCTCTTGTCAAGATGCACCTATATACCAAATTTCGTAGCCGTGGGTCTATTAGCTTACGCTCAGCACGAAGAAAAGACACACACACACACAGACTCTTTCTTTTATTATATGTAGAGATTACTAATGTTGCATAAAAGCATCATAATTTCAGATAACAATGTCCATTATGTAAAGTGTACATAACTTTTCTTTCTCCAAAAATTACATATACTTCTTAAATTCCTGCGCTGAAACTTTTCCGTTAAACTTAGGTGTGTAAATAAAAGCCAGATATAAGGTAATTTAATAAAAAAAATTATATATTTAAAAAACCTTTAAATTTAAGGAAAAATAGTGTTATTTGTATGTATTTTTAATTTTAGAAACTTTAAAAACATCTAAAAATATTGTTCAGTCATCAGCATAAAAAAAATTAGATGATTTTGAGCAAATTTTGTCAGAATTGTGCAATAAGTGAGGGGGTTAATACATTTTTAGACAAATGATAATTGTATAGTTAATTTTTTATCAGTGCAATGTGATTAAGTTTTCATAAATGATTTCATAAGTGCATGGTTTCATAAATTATAACATTTTCTGTATAATAGCACAATTTCAACCATGTACAAAGGATTCTCGACTTCCACTGAATCGTCTGCGTATTTTGTTACCCTTTAGTGGAGGCCATTCAGCTTTCCTAAAACAAAGTTTTATGACTGAAATAACGTGATTAGTGCATGAATTACTATAATTTAATGAAGTTAAGTATTATATATATATATATATATATATGCAATTGAAAAATTAATGTGAAAAAATATTTTCCTTATTTTTGTTTATCTTTTGCAGGCATAAGCAGTCTCATTGGGACTTTCGCAGATATTCAAGCACGGCTTCTTTCAGTTTGCCTATTTCAAACTACCCTGGCTATGGGCTGTTTGTTCATGAAGACTGGATCCTGAGATTTAACAGAAGGCACCAAGTTCTGGGCCGTCCAATAAAAGCATCAGCATCGAAACCAAAACAAAGATTCTGGATCTACAGACCTCTGCCTGTATCTGTATTGCCTCAGCTGTGCTCCACAGTTCATTCATTTTATGCCAATTATTCGCAAGTGGTTTTCCCCCCTTATTGGCCAATGAACATGGGGCAGAAAGCTTCAGGTGGTATCAAGACTGTCTCAATATCCAGAGTTTCATCGGCAACCATACATAGGCCAATGGCTAAAGAACTAGCCATCAATCCTGATTTACAAAGGCCTGGTCGCCTAGATGTGCTCTTGGATATGCCTCCAGCAAGTCGAGAACAGCAGTTAAAACATGCTTGGAATCCTGATGACCGTTCTTTAAATATATTTGTCAAAGAAGATGACAAATTAACTTTTCACCGACATCCAGTTGCTCAGAGTACTGACTGTATAAGAGGTAAAGTAGGATACACAAGAGGTCTCCATGCATGGGAAATTCATTGGAACATGAGACAAAGAGGAACTCATGCAGTTGTGGGAGTTTCAACTCGCGATGCTCCCTTGCATTCTGTAGGTTATCAATCTCTTGTCGGAAGCAATGCCGAATCATGGGGATGGGATTTGGGTCGAAACAAACTTTATCACGATGTAAAAAATAATCCTGGTGTTACTTATCCTAGCCTTTTAAATTCAGATGAACCTTTTGTTGTTCCTGACAGTTTACTTGTAGTTTTGGACATGGATGAAGGTACTTTATCCTTTGTTGTTGATGGACAATATTTAGGTGTAGCATTCCGTGGCTTAAAAGGAAAGAAGTTGTATCCTGTAGTTAGTGCAGTATGGGGACACTGCGAAATTACAATTAAATATTTTGGTGGACTTGATCGTAAGTATTTTGGTTTCATGTTTTATGCATATGATTGGAAGTTATTAACGAGATTTTTTGTCACTTGTTAAATATTAGCATATAATTTAAAATATTTTGCTTTCTTTCTTTCCTTAATAATATAAATGTTATCTTAATAAATGTAAGTTTTTTAAAATGGAGACTAAAATAAGTAAATATACAAATTTAGCTGATAAAGGCTGTTTAAATGCAGGTCTTCAATGACAGATCCAAAAACCTGTGCTGCTCAGAGGGTTAAAAGAGTTGATTGTTTTTTTCTTTTTTTATGTTTAAAAACTCTCTCTTTTATGAAATGTAAGTTTTTTAAAATGGAGACTAAAATAAGTAAATATACAAATTTAGCTGGTAAAGGCTGTTTAAATACAGGTCTTCAATGACAGATCCAAAAACCTGTGCTGCTCAGAGGGTTAAAAGAGTTGATTTTTTTTTTTTTTTTCTTTTTTTTTTTTTTTTTTTTTTTTTTATGTTTAAAAAAATCTCTCTTTTATGTTTATACTGTTAAGTTCTATTTCTGGCTACAGTTTTTATGTTTCTACTTTATGAAATCTTTATATTGCCTATTTCTCTTGTTCGTTAGTATATTTAGAGTTTAATCAAATCAAAATGAAGAATTTTGGCTTGTATATTAGAGCTTTGTACTGAAATGTTTGATAAAAGTCTTTCACAGTGGGAAGTGTTCATACTGAACCTGTTTCCCATTTGATATTTTTGCCATCATACTGATTTGCTCATTGGTTTTATGAGTTATCAAAGCTCAGGATTTGTTGCTTATGGATTGAAGAGTTGGATTGGGTAAATATTGTATGTAACGAGCATGAGAAAACTCATACCTTTCTCTCCATTAACTTAGTCCTTTACGTGATTTGGGTGGTGGATCATTTGCTTGTATCAAATTGTTTCTGCCCATTGACCACTCTATAAAATAAGACAGAAGCACAAAATGCTATGGATTTTATAATCCGTATCTCCATCAGTCACAAAAAAATTAATAAGCAGAGATAATTTTTTGACAACTGTTATAAAAATTAAACATTCTTTTCTTATTTCTGACTGTGAGAGAAGGATGTAAAAACAATCATACTTTGTCCTGAAAGTTAAAAAATCCTTTGATAGGTTATTTTCACCTGACAATTTATTCACAAATTCAGATGTTTGAATAATGTTTAATATGTAAAAATGAAGGTTTTTAACATTAAAAATAACATACTTGTGTAATTATATCTCTAAATAAATATTTATAGTCATGCGTAACTATGATCATGTTAAAACTATTTAGAATGGTACTTCTGTTAAAACTGTTTAATAGTTAGTTATCTTGTCTTCTGTTCAGATTTCATCTTTTTAAGCTTTAAAAAGAATGACTCTGTAATTATTAGATTTTAACTTCTAAAAATACCATGTTTTTGCAAAATGAAATTAGTTTGAATGTGAATTATTTTTTTAATTACAGGAACTCGTAAGTTATAGGTTAAAATATATGTGGTCGGGGTGGTAGGGATTGTGTTGGATGGGGTCATAAGAGTTCTTTGTAGTGTAACAATAATTTATTAACAGGTTTAAGTTACATGCAGATATCACATTTAATTTTAAGAATATTACAGAGCAAGAGTCTGATACAACCTAACAGGTTCATCACTTGGTCTTTCTTTGGCTACTTCACCAGAGGGCACCCTTGTTACTAGACTCAGTCCAACATAATTTATATTAAAGGATTGTTAACAAACTCCCCTTCTGGTTCTGCTGACATCCTAGCAAGGAGACAGAACTGGAAAATTTGGGAGCTCTGGTAATCTCTGGTTTTTTAGTTTCCTGACCAAGGGGATCTCTCTTTGAAGCACTGTTTGGAACTTTTAAGTTCTTGATTAGTTTGGAGGGTCAACCTTTCTTGAGCAAAACAATTGCAGAAGTGTACATGTCTTTGAAAAGTATTAGTGCAGGTGTGTGGTACGTCCCGATGGTTCTGATGGTTTATGAAGGCTTGAAATGACATGCGAACTAGGTGATTTCTGTGTCATTACCAAGTATGGACCGTCACATTTTGGTATGAACTTTGAAGACTCTTTGTTTTTTCCATTAACTAATGAAATGTAAATTGACCCACACTTTATCACTTGGTAAATAAAACACTTGTCTTCTTTTGTCATATTGCTTTTTACATTGAGCTTACTTCATTTCAATACATTCTAACCTGTCCTTTGTAATAGTTACGAATCGTTTAAGAAAAGAGGTGATTTCAGGAACAAAGTTATCATTTTCAATAACAGCTTTGAAATCATGGACAGCATCGTCGACAATCTTCAGCTCTTTTCCAAACATTAGGAATGCTGGTATGTATGGCCTGTAGTGTGATAGATGGCCACATTCATAGCGAAGCAAATAACTGGGAGTTTCGAATGCCAGTTGTCATGGGCATCTCCTACAAGGATTGCAAGATGAGCCTTTAAGTCTCTTAATTTTCCATTCCACAGGAGTTGATTCAGGAAAGTAAACTGGTATCAAGTTTTGATTTATATTTAATGTGCAGCAAACTTATTGCATGATGTCACTGGGTTTCGTTCTTGCTCATGATTCTTCGTGGTATACCATGGTGCGTGATGCTTCTTCAATGAGGGTTATAGTGCAGTCACGTGCTGTTGCTTGAGTAAGAAGAATCAATCCACAGTCTTTGACAATGAATATCCATTGTTTTCCGGTATCTTCGTAGCAGTCCAGCTGGCTTTTGGTTGGTAGCCTTGTAGCGGCTGCATTCAGGAGGGCTTTTCACGTAGTCAGATATGTACTTTTTCGTACCAGTCCAATAATAGCGTCTAGCAATTCTTTCGAATGTTCCTTCCTTTCCATGATGTCCAGCCATCAGGTCATCATGGTGCTTTCGCATGATGGATTCACGCTTGGCAGTTGGAATGACTAACTGGGCCTCTTTTGAATCAGAGTCAGGGACTTATTGGTCGAGAACACCTTAATTCATTAAGAATTCCTGTTCAGCCCCTTTGGCACATTCTTCAATTTTCTGAGTGGATTCAAAACTTTCTGTAATCTTTTTTAAATTTTCATCTTTAAGTTGGGATTCATGCATGTCTTTTGGACCTCTAGTGGGCATGTTCACTATAGATAAATTTGAAATCTCGCAAGGCAAAACTTTAAGTTTGGAGCTTGAACGGGACAGCATGTCAGCGATGATGTTTGCCTTTCCAGTAATGTATTGTACTTTCAGGTTGAAAGACTGAATTTCAAGTGCCCAAGTCATCCAGTTGAAGACTTGAGGTTCAAAAGCCATTTTAAAGGTTGATGATCATCAGGTCCAACAGTTACTTCGACGTAACCACGGAATTTCTTCAGGGGCCCTGACGACAGCGAGGGCTTCTCTTTCAGTCATTGAATAATTTTGCTTAGCCAAAGAAAGCAGTCTACTGGCATATTTGATAGGGCATTCTTTTGATCCATCCTCTTGAAGCAAAATGGCTCCAAGAGCATAATTGCTTGCATCAGTGTGAAGAATACAAGGTTGAGTTCTATTTGCTTGTTTCAACACGGGAGGTATTATGAAGCCGTTTTTTAGAGTTTCAAATGCTTTTTGCTGGTTGAAACCCTTATTCCCATTGGACTTTCTTTTTCGTTAAATCACTAAGAGTTCTTGATATTTTTGCAAAGTTTTGCATGCAGTCTAACCGCAAAGTTTCCGCAAAGTTTTGTATACAGTTTTGTATACATCGTCTAAACCAAGAACACGTTTGAAGGAAGGATTGGAGTTCCTTGATGTTTTTAGGAGGTGGAATTCTCTGGATAGAAGAAACTTTTTCTGGAGCAACTTCAATCCCTTTTTGTGTGATCCAAAATCCCAAATATTTCACATGAGAGAAAGTGAAGTGGCACTTCTCTCTGTTTGCGTGCACTCTGAAGAGCAAAAGCCTTTCGAAAACAGCTTTGAGATCGGAATATCTCGAATGATTCTGACAACACAATTATGTCGTCCAGATAGGTGAGGGTTAGGATGACAAGTCCATTGCGAAAATGGTCTATCAATCTTTGGAATGTTGCTGGGGCATTCCGAAGACCAAAAGGCATTTGTAAGAAACGATATGTTCAGAAGGGACACACAAATGCTGTTTGTCTTGATCAACAGTATGAACCTTTACTTGGTGATAAACTGCACGAAGATCAAGGGTGAGCATGAAAGGAGTAGGTTTTGCCTCATGTAACAGGTCATCCATTTGCGGAAGTGGGTAGGAATTTGGAATTGTGAACGCATTCAGTTTTAGGCAATCTATGCAGAGGTGTACTGTTCCCATTAGCTTTCGGTATTAAAACAACTGGGGATGCATAAGGTGACTCGCATTCTTTAGTTATTCCTTCGGACAAGAGCTTGCCAATTTCTTGCTTTAAAATTTCTTTTCTAGCAGGATTTGTCCTGTATGGTGGTACAGCTACTGAGGAATGGTTTCCATTTTTAATTCAGTGTTCTAATGAAAGGTGTTGTTTCTCCCCCTGGTTTGAAGATAGTTGAATATTAACTCAGTAATTCATTTAATTGTGATCTTTGATGAGGCAATAGATGTTTTCCTTCATCTTCTCTTAACAGTACAGTGTCAACTTACCATGTACATCTGGTTCGCTCATCGAGTTAGTTTAAAATCATCATCAATAAACTTAAATATTTGTTTTGGATTATTGTAATAAAACCACCAATGATTTCGTAGGTCTAAAACAATTCCAGTGCTTGACCCTAGGTCATGTGGACCTCGCTGTCCCTTTGAATATTGTCAGTGAGAGTGACCTTCATAGTAGTTTTCTTAAATTTTGTTCCATGTTTGCCCATCTTCCCAAGAGGAACAAAACTTGAGAATAAATAACGACAACCTATTATCTTTCTTTTACTTATTAGATTTTTCTATGACACAAAACAGAAATTTTTATGTAGATTATAACCTTCGTTTTTTACTACGCCTTTCAGCTACAACACTTCATGAAGTTTCTAATCT